GGGGTTTCCCCCTTTTTTTTTTTTTTTTTTTTTTTTTTTTTTCCCTCTCCTCCCTCCCCGGCCGGGCCGAGGCGGCGCCCATGGAGTTCTCGGAGCTGATCAAGACGGCGACAGTGGAGGACGTGCTGCTGTCGCGGCCGGGGGTGGCGGCGGTGCGGGGCACCCTGTGCATCACCAGCCACCACCTGCTGCTCTCCTCCTGCCCCCGCGGCGACCTGGAGCTCTGGCTGCTCATCCGCAACGTGGACGCCGTGGAGAAAAGGTGGGCTTGTCGCCAAGGCTGTCCCTGTCGCTGTCACCGTGCCCGAGCTGGAGGATGGCCCCCTTCTCCTCTCCTGTCCCCGCGGGCACCCCACGGGCACCGCGCTGCCCCTCCCGGCCGCGTCCTTCCTCTTCCTCTCCCTCCTGGCGGGGCAGAGCGGGCACGGACTCCTCTCCTCCTCAGAGTGCAGAATTTAGGCTGGTACCAACCTCCTCGGAGCGGCGGCTCCCTGCGGGACACCGGGTTTGGCATTTCTGCCTCTCTGCCACCCTGCGGGACACCGGGTTTGGCATTTCTGCCTCTCTGCCACCCAGCCCGGCTGGTGGCGGATGGCAGAGCCTGAAGTCCGGCCCAGCCCCCGGGGGGAGAGGGCGGCTCGCTGCTGTCCCCTGTGTCCCCCAGCCAGCCCTGGCCCCCCTCCCGCAGGGTCTCGGGCTCCTCGGGCACCATCACGCTGCGCTGCAAGGACCTGCGGGTGCTGCAGCTGGAGATCCCGGGCATGGAGCAGTGCCTGAACGTCGCCAGCTCCATCGAGGTGAGCCCAAAGGCTTGGCCGAGAGGGGAAAAGCGCTGCCGTGTTTGCTCTGGGTCGGGCATTAACTGGGTAAACACGCGGCTCCGGCAGCGCTGGCACACGGGGACAGTGCCAGCTGCCCTGGCACACGGGGACAGTGCCAGCTGCCCTGGCACACGGGGACAGTGCCAGCCGCGGTGTCCCTGAGCAGCCCCGTGGTTGATGTTTTGTGTGAGGAGGCTCCCGGGACGAGTGGGGAAACGAGAATCTTGACTCCTGAAACATTCAGAATCTTCTGAATGTTTCAGAAGGCTGGTTTATTATATTATGATATATATCATTATATATATTATATTATTATATATTATATATCAAAATATATAATAATAATATATTATATATATTATATATAATATAGATTATAATATATCAAAATATATCATAATAATATATTATATATATTATATATAATATAGATTATAATATATCAAAATATATCACAATAATATATTATGTATATTATATATATTATATATAATATAGATTATATTATTATATATTATAGTACATTATATTATATTATATTATATTATATTATATTATATTATATTATATTATATTATATTATATTATATTATATTATATTATATTATATTAATGATACATTAAACCTATACGAAAACAATAGAGAGAAAAGGATTCATCAGAAGGCTAGAAAGAACAAGAACGGAATGGAATAACAAAGGCTTGTGACACTCAAAGAGTCCGAGCCAGCTGATTGTGATTGGCCATTAATTAGAAACAATTAACATGCCCCAATCCCAGCTGCACCTGTTGCATCCCACAGCAGCAGACAATTATTGTTTATATTCCTTTCCTGAGCCTCCTCAGGAGAGAAAAAAACCTAGCAAATTATTTTTTCACGAAATACCGAAAATTGGTCCTCGCAGGCGCTCTCCTCGGTGGACTCGGTGATGATGCTGTACCCGTTCTTCCACCGCCCGCCGGGCCTGCGGCTGCAGCAGGGCTGGCACCTCGGTGTCGCCGAGCGCCACCTCCAGCGGGTGGCCGCGCAGGTGAGCCCCGCCGGCCGGGAGCCGCCGCCTTCCCCGCGCCCCGCCGCTGATGTCGCCTGTCCCCCAGACCAGCCAGTGGCGGCTGAGCACCGTGAACGGCGACTTCAGCGCCTGCCCCTCGTACCCGCGGGCCGTGCTGGTGCCCGCGGCCGTGGGCGATGAGGCCGTGGCCAAGGCGGCGAGGTTCCGGCAGGGCGGCCGCTTCCCCGTGCTCTGCTACTTCCACCCCAAAAACGGCACCGTGAGTCCCTCTGCCTTCTGCCCCTCTGCCTTCTGCCCCTGTGCCTTCTGTCCCTCTGTCCCTCTGCCTTCTGCCCCTGTGCCTTCTGTCCCTCTGTCCCTCTGCCTTCTGTCCCTCTGTCCCTCTGCCCGCCTCACCCCCTGCCTCGCAGAACGGGGGGTTCCAGCTTCAGAGGATTCCAGAATCGGGTTGGAAGGGATGTTAAAGCTCATCCAGTGCCACCCCTGTCAGGGCAGGGACACCGCTGCTGTCCTGTTCCGAGTCCTGTCCTTCCCTGGATCCAGGGGCAGCCACGGCTGCTCTGGGAAATCCATCCCAGCCCTTCCCAGGGAACCATTCCTAATTCCCAATATCCCACCCATCCCTGCCTTCTGCCAGTGAGAGCCATTCCCCGTGCCCTGTCCCTCCATCCTTCGTCCCAAATCCCTCTCCAGCTCTCCTGGAGCCCCTTTAGGCTCTCTAAGGTCACCCTGGATCCCTTTTAGGCTCCCTAAGGCCATCCTGGAACCACTTTAGACTCTTTAAGGTCACTCTGAGCCCCTTTAGGCTCTCTAAGGTCACCCTGGCTCCCTTTTAGGCTCTCTAAGGCCACTCTGGATCCCTTTTAGGCTCTCTAAGGTCATTTGGAAAAACCCAAGGGAGGAAAGAGGGCGTTCCCTGGCAGCAGGGAGCTTTTATACCCCGGGATGGGGACAGAGGGAGAGTCCCCAGCCAGTGGGACACCAGTGAGGAGTGTGAGGGAGGGGTGACCCAGGGGAGAGACCCCAGGGGTACCAGGACAGGTGAGGGACAGACCATGTGATGGGGAAATGGGGTAACAAACCACATGATGTAACATAAGCTACACAGTGCAATACAAAACTGTTCTGTGCAAATTCCCAATCACCCCAGGTGAGAGAACAACTGAACTGGTGCCCCACAACAGGCAGGGCGCTGTCCCCCCCCCGTGTGACAGTGACACCGAGCCCCGCACTGGCTCCGTCTCTCGGGGTGCCTCCCAGTGTCCCCCACTGGTGGCCCGAGGGCACTGGTGGCAGCTGGGCTAGTGGCCTTTGCAGCAGAGGGGACACTGGAGACAGCGGTAGGAGATAAAAGGTGACTGAGCAGGGGTTAATCCAAGGTTTATTCAGAGCTCCTCAGGAGCCCCACACCTCAGTGTGCGCCTTGCTCAGGGTAAAACAAAAGGAATCTCAAGGTTTAAATATAACCGTGCCAGGGGAGAGACCCCAGGGGTACCAGGACAGGTGAGGGACAGACCATGTGATGGGGAAATGGGGTAACAAACCACATGATGTAACATAAGCTACACAGTGCAATACAAAACTGTTCTGTGCAAATTCCCAGTCACCCCGGGTGAGAGAACAACTGAACTGGTGCCCCACAACAGGCAGGGCGCTGTCCCCCCCTGTGTGACAGTGACACCGAGCCCCGCACTGGCTCTGTCTCTCAGGGTGCCTCCCAGTGTCCCCCACTGGTGGCCCGAGGGCACTGGTGGCAGCTGGGCTAGTGGCCTTGGCAGCAGAGGGGACACTGGAGACAGCGGTAGGAGATAAAAGGTGACTGAGCAGGGGTTAATCCAAGGTTTATTCAGAGCTCCTCAGGAGCCCCACACCTCAGTGTGCGCCTTGCTCAGGGTAAAACAAAAGGAATCTCAAGGTTTAAATATAACCGTGGGAGGTTATATCTAAAGAGGGAGGAAACCAAAGGTAGATGCATCTGTTGACTAATAAAGGCCCTAAAGGGATGAAACCTTAGGGAGGGACATTTGGGATAGGGTATAAGATAATACTTGGGGGGCTGAGCCCTGGCCTCGGACTAAACACTCGATGACTTGGACTGAAAGTTCTAGATGGAGAGGATGGGATGTGAGTGACTGACAGAGAGCCAGGGTGGGGATTTGGGGATGATCTCAACAAAGGAGAATGATTACGCAGGGAGGGTGTACAAAAAGGGATTCACCATTTGGGGAAAATAAGGGGATCCAAAACCAAACCCATTACAAAGTACAAAAGCACACCAAACAGCCCACGGCTCTGTCCCCTCTGCCAGGGGCCGCCCGCTGCAGGAGAGCTTTGCCCGGCTGGCGGAGGCGTGCGGCGACCCCGCTCCGAGCATGGAGCGCTGGCTGGGCCGGCTGGAGGGCAGCCGCTGGCTCAGCCACGTCAAGGCCGCCCTGAGCACGGCCTGCCTGGCTGCCCAGTGCCTGGACAGGTAAGGGGGGGCTGCACCTTGGCCGTCTCAGCCCTTTCCGTGCCCGCAACGTGCCCCAAAACGCTGGGCTCGCCCCGGCAGGGAGGGCTGCTCGGTGCTGGTGCACGGCGCCGAGGGCACGGACACCACGCTGCTGGTGACAGCGCTGGCCCAGCTCATCCTGGACCCCGCCTGCCGCACCCTGGAGGGATTCCAGGAGCTGCTGGAGCGGGAGTGGATCCAGGTGAGAGCTGTTTTGGCAGGGCGGGGGTCCCAGCCCGGCTGGGTGCCCCACTCCGGGTCTCCCGCAGGCCGGGCACCCCTTCCAGCTGCGCTGCGCCCGCTCCGCCTCCTCCCACGCCCGGGGGAAGCAGGAGGCGCCGGTTTTCCTCCTCTTCCTCGACTGCGTGTGGCAGCTGAGCCGGCAGTTCCCCTTCTCCCTGGAATTCGGGGAGCAGCTGCTGCTCACCCTCTTGGACAACGCCTACGCCTCGGCCTACGGCACCTTCCTGTGCAACAACGAGAAGGAGAGGTCGGTGAGGGGACAAAGCCCTCCTGTCACGGCTTAGGTGACACTGCTGGGGACTGGAATGTGTGCCACGTGTCCCCACAGGAGCCTGTGTAAGGTGAGGGAAAGCACACACTCGCTGTGGGCCTGGCTGAACCAGCCTGAGGAGAAGGACAAGTACCTGAACCCTCTGTACTCACACAACCCCCTGGTGATCTGGCCCTCCGTGGAGCCCCAGAGCATCCAGCTCTGGCAGGGTGAGTGGGATCCTCCCAAAATCCAGCCCCAGCTCCCAGCTGGGCTGGCTCAGGGGCAGCTGCTGTGCCTTTCCCTGTGTGACAGGGCTGAGCTCACCCCCCCAGCCCCTTCTCTCCCAGGTTTCTTCCTTCGTTGGATCCGTCCTTCCCAGCACCTGGATGAGGCCAGGGTGGAGATCCAGAGGTTGGTGCAGGGAAAGAACTCCTCCCTCCAGGAGAGCACAGGGAAAAGGCTGAGCCAGTCCCTCCCTGAGTCTCCTGCTGGGACAGAGAACGGTGAAACGGGGACAGCTGGGACAAGGTGACACTGGAAATTCCCGTGGGAAGGGCTGTGCAGGACACAGACCCCGTGGGCAGCTCTGGGACAGGGGACAGAGCCTCCCTGTGCTGCCCACCCTGAGCTCGTTTCAGTAAATCTCTCTCCCAGCCCTTGCCTGTGTCCTGCTCTTCCCTAAGGAAGCTGCTCCTTCCCACTGGGATTGCAGCAGTGCCCGTGGATGGCTCTGGAGCTGAAGGGCAGCAGATCACACAAAAACCCCAGCAGATCACACAAAAAACCCCAAGAGATGACAGAAAAAAACCAGCAGATCACACAGAAAAAACCCCAGCAGGACACACAAAAAAAGCCAGATCACACCAAAAAACCCCAGCAGATCACACCAAGAAACTCCAACAGATCACACAGAAAATCCCCAGCAGGACACACAAAAAACCCAGCAGATCACACAAAAAAAACTAACAGATCACACCAAAACACCCCAGCAGACCACACCAAGAAATTCCAACAGATCACACAAAGAAACCCCAGCAGATCACACCAAAAAAACCAACAATCACACAGAAAAACCCCAGCAGATCACACCAAAAAACCCAACAATCACACAGAACCACCCCAGCAGGACACACAAAACCAACACCCCAAAACCACACAGGCTGCAGCCTCTGCAGCCTGGAGCCAGCCTGGGAATTCTGCCCTTGAGCCCAGTTTTGAGGAAGGAAAGAGGAAAAAAAAGAAAGAGCCAGGAGGGTGGGAGGGCGAGGATGTGCAGCACGAGCTGCCAGGGCAGGAAATAACTGCTCCATGAGGGAAGCTGGCCCGGGGTCAGCCCAGCAGACAAACAGAGCGCCGGGGCCGGGCGCGTGCGTGGCAGCTGGAAAACAATTCCTGGCTGCTGCACTTGCAGCTTTTTCACACTTCAGGGCAGGGCCTGAGGCTGTGCAGCCTCCCTGGGAAGGTCATGGATGGGCAGAGGTCCCAGGAGGAGCAGCAGTGCTCCATGGGTGTGGAACAAAGCACTGACAACAGAGCGGGGAAAACAAAAGTCCTTGGGTTGATTTTGGTCCAAACGGGGAAAACCAACCTAAAAAAAAACCCACAGAGGTGCTTTTCTTTGTGTTTAGAAAAGATTTTTATTTATTTCCTCTTTTTTTCCCCTCCCCTGGTTTATAAATATGCCCAGCAGGGCAGGAAGCCAACCCAGTTCCCTTCACTCTTCTCCCAGTAAAAGCCACTGCAGCTGCTGGAGTTCCCACTTCCCCAACTTCCCACAGCCCCCAAAATCCCTGCCAAGAACAACTTCAGGCCTTTCCAACAGCCCCTGGACTGGGCAAGGGGTTGGAGAAGGGAAAAGAAGAGGAGAGGAGAGGGAAATTCTCCTTCAGGCTTCAAACTCGAACTCGAAGTACTGGGGGTCGAAGTAATGGATGCGGACGTAGCCATCCTCACCCCCACTGCTGTAGCTGCAGGGAGGAAAGGGAAAGTCAGGAATGCTGCTGGCAGCAAACAATGGCAAGTCTGCCCTCACCACCCCCTCCTGAAACTGGTACAAGAATCACAAAGTGGAAAAAAAGATCAGTGATGTGGCCCAAGAGTGGGGCAGGGTGTGAGAGACCCCCTGGGCTGGCTCAGAATGGAGAATTCAGGGGCTGGTTCCGTTCCCAGCACAGAAATCCCCTGAGTTTGGTCAAATCCCAGTTAAAAAGTGGGATTGGGTGGACTGGGGACACTGCAAGATCCCCAGGGAGGCTCTCACCTCTTGCCATCAGGGTGGAAGGCCACGCTGTTGATGGGCCCAAAGTGCCCCTTGACTCTGCCAAACTCCTCCTCAAAAGCCAAGTGGAAGAACCTGGGAGGAGGAAAATCGAAATTGTCACAAGCCCAGGAGGGACAAAACTACAGAATCCTCAAAAAAAAAAAAAAAAGCTCAAGGGTTTCTCCAGCACTGCCAGCTTCCCAAAGGAAAGGGAAGAGCAATCCTTGGGGTGTCAGGAGTGCTCTGGGTGAGCATTCAGCCCTGCCAGAGGGAAAAGGACCAACCTGGCCTCGAATTTGCCAATCCTGGTGGAGGTGGTGGTCACATCCATGGCCTCCTGCCCTCCTCCCAGCACCACCTGCAGGGGAGAGAAAGCAGAGAAATCACAGCCCTTCATTTAGGGATTTAGGGAATCCTGGCATCACTGAGCTTGGGAAAGACCTCCAAGATCGAGCCCAGCATTGATCCCCACCTTGAACCAGTTTAGAGCAGTGAGTGCCAGGTCCAGAAGCTCCCTGGACACTTCCAGAGGTGGTGACTGCCTCCAGCACTTCCCACAAATCCCACAGATCCTACAAATCCCTCAGCAGACCTCCAAGCCCCTGAGGAATTCCCACCTCCCTGACACATTCGATCAGAGGATTTGTTCCCAGTGCCTGACCCAGCAAAATTCCCCAGGCTCATTCCAGAGTCCTGGTTTTGGGCTGGACTGGGAACTCCCACAATGCAGGATTCCCAGGATCAGTGACACCTCAGGGAGCTCATCCTTACGTGGTCAAAAATGGGGGAAAGGGCAGCAGAGTTCACCGGCCGCTCCGTCCGGAACGTCTTCAGGTGCTCAAGGGATGTGCAGTCAAAGAGCTACGAGGGGAAAAGGAGAAATTCATTAATTAGCTCCAGCTGCTGGGCCTCACCTGCATGGGTGTTCCCTCTGCAAGCTCAAATCCCAAAAATATTCCCCCAGAAAGGCAGATCTTCCACCTTCCAGAACTGACAAACTGCAAACATTCTAGAGAAATACCCAAATATTTAATTTTCAACGCCTGGCTGTTCATTTAGCACCTCCCCTTTCTCACTGAACATTCCCAAGGAGCAAAACTCCCTCTGAGCAGAGATCCTGCCAGGAAATCTGCAGGAAAAGCTCACCTTGGCTGTGTTATCCTTGGAAGCAGTGATGAACATGGTCATGTCCCGGGAGGTCTGGATGTCGTTGATTTGCTTGGTGTGCTCCTTGATATTGGACAGCTGCTCCCCTGACTGGGGGGGAAGAGGAGTTTTCATGGGGCTGGGAAGGGATTCCCCCATTAAAAATAACATGGAATGGAACCCTGGAATGCTCAGGGTGGGAATTCAGGAATGGATTCAGTTCCATGTCCCTGCTCTGTGTCACTTCCAGCTCAGTCTCACTCAGAGGAGCCTCAGATTTTAACAGAGGAGGGGAAGAGGAGTTTGCAGGGAGCTGGGAAGTGATTCCTTCATTTAAAATACCTTGGGAGAACATGGAATAGATTCCTGGGAGAACATGGAACAGAATCCTGGAATGCTTTGGGTGCAAATTTGGGAATGGATTCAGTTCCACGTCTCTGTGCTGTGCCAATTCCACCCTTACTCAGGGGAGCCTCAGATTTTAACAGAGGAGGGGCAGAGGAATTTTCAGGGAGCTGGGAAGTGATTCCCTCATTAAAAACACCTTGGGAGAGCATGGAATGGAATGCTGGAATGTTTTGGGTGGGAAGGGAATTTAGGAATGTATTCAGTTCCACACCCCTGTGCTGAGATGTCACTTCCAGCCTTGCTCAGGGGAATCTCAGATTTTAAAAAGAGGAAGGAAAAAGGAGTTCTCAGGGAGCTGGGAAGTGATTCCCTCCTTAAAAACACCTTGGGAGAACATGGAATAGATTCCTGGGAGAACATGGAACAGAACCCTGGAATGCTTTGGAAGGGAACTTAGGAATTGATTTAGTTCCACACCCCTGTGCTGAGGTGTCACTTCCAGCCTTGCTTCGGGGGAGCCTCAGATTTTAAAAAGGGGATGGAAAAAGGAATTTTCAGGGAGCTGGGAAATTATCCCCTCATTAAAAACAACATGGAATGGAATCCTGGAATGCTTTGAGCTGGAAGAGAATTTAGGAACGGATTCAGTTCCACCTCTCTGTGCTGTGTCAGTTCCAGCCTCGCTCAGGACAGCCCCATATTTCACTGATCCTTGCTGAAGCTGCTGTCTGGAGCCCCCAGACCCCCATTCCAGCCCTGCTCCCCCTGGGAATGCTCTCCCAGGCCCTGACCTTGGCACTGAACTGGTTGAGCTCCCCGTTCTCGTGGCCAGCAATGATGAACTCCCCGAGCGGGCCCCACACGGCGCTGGTGATCTTGGAGTCACTGCAGGGAATCTTCATGTAGGGCTCGTTGTTCTCTGGGGGAAGCAGCAATCAGCCACCCACAGCCAGCACTTATCCTTCCACGTCCCCTGCTCAGCTGGGATTTGGGCTTTTCCAGCATTTCAAGGTGGATTCCTTGGTGATTTTTGTTTATGGAGCTCAGGGGCAGCATTTTGGAATCTAACAGGGAAGGGGATGAAGGAATTGTGTCCTTGCTGATGTGATCACCCCACAACCACTCCCAGCCATCCAGCAAAAGAGAATTTTTAGGGAAGCATCTCCTCTGCTCCATCCCTGAAAATATCCCAAGCTAGGTTAGAGCAACTTAGCACAGGGGAAGCAATGGGAACGGGGTGAGATTCAAGGCTGCCCCAACCCCAGAAATCCCTGAGGGAGATTCCCTGGCCCCTCACCGATCTGGCTGGGGTCCCTGAGGTCGAAGAAGCTGACAAAGCACTGGTAGCCCATCTGCTTGTCCGTGGAGAACATGATGATGTTCCCTCCGAAGTCGAAGCCGCACGTCCTCACGGCCGAGCTGGTCTTCACCAGGGCCAGCTGCTTCCCTGGGGACACAGAGCTCAGGGGTGGGAAAGGATTCCCTCATTAAAAACAGCCTGGGAGAGCGTGGGATGGAACCTGGGATGGCACCTGGGATGTTCTGGGTGGGAATTTAGGCGTGGATTCAGTTCAATGTCTCTGCGCTGTGATAATTCCAGCCATGCTCAGGGGAACCTCAGATTTTAACAGGGGAGGGGAAGAGGGATTTTCAGGGAGATGGGAAATTATTCCTTCATTAAAAACATCCAACCTCATTCGGAGAAGTTGTTGGAATAAAATGGAACCCTGGAATGGAACCTGGGATGTTCTGGGTGGGAATTTAGGAGTGGATTCAGTTCCACGTCTCTGCGCTGTGACAACTCCAGCTTTGCTCAGGGGAACCTCAGATTTTAACAGGGGAGGGGAAGAGGGATTTTCAGGGAGATGGGAAATTATTTCCTTATTAAAAACACCTTGGGAGATCATGGGATGGAACCTGGGTGGGAATTTAGGAGTGGATTCAGTTCACTGTCTCTGCGCAGTGACAATTCCAGCTTTGCTTGGGGGAACCTCAGATTTTAAGAGGGAAGAGGAATTGTCAGGGAGCTGGGAAATGATTCCCTCATTAAAAACATCCGTCCTCATTGGGAGAGGATGCTGGAATAGAATGGAACCCTGGGATGGAACCTGGGATGCTCTGGGTGGGAATTGGAGTGGATTCAGTTCCACGTCTCTGCGCTGCGACAATTCCAGCCTCGCTCAGGGGAGCCCCAGATTTTAACAGGGAAGAGTTTTCAGGGAGCTGGGAACTGATTTCCTTATTAAAAACACCTTGGGAGAGCATGGAATGGAATCCTGGAATGCTTTGGGTGGGGAGGGAATTTAGGAGTGGATCCAGTTCCACATCTCTGTGCTGTGTCACTTCCAGCCTTGCTTAGGGGAGCCTTGGATTTTAACAGGGAAGAGGGATTTTCAGGGAGATGGGAAATGTTTTCCTCATTAAAAACAGAGTGTCCCAGCAGTGTCCCAGCAGTGTCCCAGGGATGTCCCCAGGCCCAGCAGTGTCCCAGCAGTGTCCCAGGATGTCACAGGGATGTCCCAGGGATGTCCCCAGCCCCAACAGTGTCCCAGGGAGTCTCAGCAGTGTCCCAGGGATGTCCCCAGTCCCAGCAGTGTCTCAGGATGTCCCAGGGATGTCCCCAAGCCCAGCAGTGTCCCAGGATGTCCCAGCAGTGTCCCAGGGGTGTCCCAGGGGTGTCCCATGGGATCTGGGCTGCCTCACCTGTCTCACAGTCCCACAGGCGGCAGCTGTTGTCTGCAGAGCCGGTCAGGACGTGCCTGGTGTCCCCTGGGCCACCATTAAGGGAAATTCAGCCCCAAACTCCCCTGCCTGGGCTCTCAGAGAACCTCTCTGCACCCAAAAAGGGATTTTTTTGGGGAAAAATCTGCCCCAGTGAAGGCAGCACGGAGGCCAAGTGCTCCCATGGCAAAATCCCATCTTTTCTCCACGAAATTTAAAAGAAAAGGTTCAGTTTTTTGCATTTAAATAAATTTTCCCCACTTTTATCTCTACTGCCTGTGGAAAACCTTTCCCAAATATCCAGAGAAGCAGCAAAAAGGCACAACAAATCCAGATATCCATTGGGATGTTACTCCAAATGGGAAAGCACCCAAAAGATGGGAAAAGGAGAGGCAGCAGAAGAGTTTGAATGCTCCTTTTGGAGAGGAAAATGAGGAGCAGCCGGGAGGAGACTCCGGGAATGATTCAGCCACTAAAACATGGAAAAAAACCGGTTTGGGATCAAAGGATACAGTCGGCATCCACACACCACACAGCTCCCGTGTGCCCGTTGTAGGTGCCCAACCTCTCGCCATTCACCGAATACCAAACATTGACAATCTGCGAGGAGGGGGAAAAAATGATTTAAAATGAACCATTGATTAATTATCGGTTAATTAGCGGGGGTGGGCAGCACTCACGGGATCCTTGGCCACGGTGAACAGCAGGTCTCCCTCGCGGTTGTATTTGATCTGAGTGATGGAGCGCTCATGGCCTTGCAGCAGGATGGGCTTCTGTAATTAATGATGAAATAATAAATGAGTGAGGGGGGGAAATGAGGGGGAGGACGGGGGGAGAGCGCGGTCCCCGGTCCGGGGCTCCTGTGACGCGGGGGAGAGGCCAAGAAGCTCCGGACCGGCGGCGCGGAGCCGCTAAATCAGCGGTGGCGACCAAAATTCGCTACCCCCGAGCCCGCGGCGATCCCGCTCTCACCATGGCGGCCACGCTGAGGCCTGAGGGGGGCGGCACTTCCGGGATGGCGGCGGCGCGGAGGAAATACGTCACGGGCTCCATGGCAACAGAGGGACTTCCGGGGAAGGAGGAAGTGCAGCGGCGTTGCCATGGCGACCGTGGGTGAGGGGGGAGTGATGGCGGCGGGGAGGGTTTGTTTGGGAAGGGGGAAAACGCGGCTGAGGGGGCCCTGAGGGTTCAGGGGGTTGTGGAGAGGGGGTCGGGCTCTTGTGGCAGGATGGGAGCGTGGGGTGGGGAAGGAACTTGGGGATCCGGCGGTGGCAGGGACAGCTGGGGCTGCTCCGAGCGCCATCCCGCCGGGCCTGGGGCGCTGCCCGGCGATGAGGGTGACGCCTGGAGCGGCCCCCTGGAACAGAGGCTGGGCGGAGTTAAAGGAACAAAGTAGGGATTTATTAAAATGCCTTCAGAGGATGCACCTGGGGCAGCACAAGAGCCTGGCCATGGTTCCACCCAACATTGACCCTGAGTACTAAGTTTCACACTTTTATGAGTTTGGTCCATTTCCATATTGGGGTTAACTGTCCAATTCCAGCTCCAGGTGATGCAGTCCCACCCTCCCAGGCTGCTCCCCTCCATTCCCTGCTGTTTGCCCTTTTTGGGCTGAAGCTGCAGCCAAGGTGTCCTTCGTTCTAGGCTGGAAAAGGATTGTTCTGTGGGACTGAGCTGTGAGGAGAAGTGCTGCCACTTTATGTGGAGTTCAGAGTCACACTGAGGCAGGGCAGAGTCTGGGAAATATGAAAATATGGAGGCTCAAGGGGGCTGAGGCCAGGCTGGCCCCATGGCTGACCCCGGTGTTCCAGGGCTGGCTCCATGGCTGTGATACCGATGTTCCCAGGGCCAGGATGGCTCCATGGCTGATCCCGGTGTTCCAGGGTTGGCCCCATGGTTCTGACCCCGGTGTTCCCGGAGCCAGGCTGGCCCCATGGCTGTGATCCCGATATTCCCGGAGCCAGGCTGAATATTATATATTTAAAATATATTTTATAGAATATTTATATGTAAAATATATATTATATAAATATAATATATTATCTATATTATATTATATTATATTATATTAATTGTATAATGTATATATATAACATTAGTTATATATATAAATGTAACTAATGGCATTCTTTCTCGTTGATGTGTTGGCTTCTGCACGTTATTGTTAATCACCAAGATCCTGTTATAGCACAGTTTGTAATCTGTAATCCCTTTTGACTGCCTTTTGGTATAATATAATGTCAGGTTTTGTAGGCACCGTGTAGTTTATATAAAAAATAGTGTGACAAATGTGGCTTAGGCCCTCTCATACTGCTAAAATAGAAGCTATGAGCTGTTAAATACTTTTATGTGTGTAACTAACTGAGATGAGAGTGCAATAGCTGTGTGAGCTCAGTGTATTTGTGGGCTGTCTCATCTGAGTCACAAGATAACAGCACCAGGACGCCAGGAGAAAAAGTAAACTTTGTTTTTCACACACCCTTCCTTCCCTGGGCTCCTTGCTGAAACCACACTTCCCCATCCTCAGTGGGTAAATCCTGCAGCTCTGCCCTTCCCCTGCAGAATTCCCACCTCTGCCAGGTGTCCTGGCAAATCCCCCGACCCCGGGCTGGCCCTGGCACCCCCCGTGCCCCCTGTGGTGCCAGGGTGGGACCCTCAGCCAGCCCTGTGCTCTCCTGCAGTACCTGGTGCCCCTCCTGCTCAACCAGGCTGGATCCCTGCTCTTCTACCTCACCTTGGCCTCCACAGGTCAGTCCTGCTGCTTTTTTGGGGTGCTTTGATGGGATTTCGTGGCTCAGTGACTTGGCCAAACAGCAAGCAACTCCCTCAGAATAATCCCAAATAAACCAAACTGGAATAGTCCCAGATAAACCAAATGGGAATAGTCCCAAATAAACCAAATGGGAATAGTCCCAAATAAACCAAACTGGAATAGTCCCAGATAAACCAAACTGGAATAGTCCCAGATAAACCAAACTGGAATAACCCCAAATAAACCAAACTGGAATAAACCCAAATAAACCAAATGGGAATAACCCCAAATAAACCAAATTTCTCCACTTGAAACTTGCATTTCAGACCTGTCCCTGGCAGTGCCACTCTGCAACTCCCTGGCTTTGGTTGTGACCTTGGTGACTGGGAAGATCCTGGGAGAGGACATTGGAGGGAAAAGTGAGTTCCACTTCAAGCATTTCCTCAAGAAATCAGCTTTTATTGGATTGAGATGATTTGATTTGATTTTTAATGTGGGGGATTTGATTTTCATTGTATAATTTAATTTATAATCTGGTCTGAAGACACCAAACACTCCACAAGGTTTGAACTGGGTCACAGCAGCTTTGGCTGCAGGGAATTGAAATGGGAAAGGGAATTGGAACAGATTTTTGGGCAGGGCTGGTGAATTTAAAGCCAGAAATGGCTGTTTTAAGATAAAAGGATTTATATTTCCCTCAGGAGATGTTTAACCATGAATAAAATGCCCACCAGGGAAAAGGAGTGGCCCAAAAGGCCCCAAAAGTCAACGTGCCCCGCTCAGGTGGTCAGGAAAAAAGCAGCAAATTGGGGAATTTCAAACTCCAGGACCTGGAGAAGCAGCTGGGGATTGTTGTTTGAGGCAGATTCCCAGTTTATCCCGATTTATTGATCACTGATTTGTTCCTCCCCCAGGAGCTGTGGCAGGAATGCTGCTCACCATGCTGGGTGTGTCCCTGTGCCTGTCTGGGGCCTGAGGCAGCAGAGCAGCTCCAGGGCTCCTGCCCCGTGCCCGGGGGAGCTCCTGGCTCAGCCCCACCTGGGGAGGTGTTTTGGGATGGCCAAAATCCATGGATTGCACTCCCTGAGTGCCAGCACTGCAGGGACAGCCAGCTCTGTGCCTTAAAGGGGGTTTGGTGGCTCTTTGCAGAGCACAGTGAGCAAAGTGTCCTGTCCAGCACTGCAGGGGTAAGAAATGGTTAATAAATTATCGGGTAAGAAATGGTTAATAAATTATCCAGTGGGACCTCCTGGCACTGATGGATTTTTGATTAGCCCAAACCCTCTGACCACCCCTAAACCCTTCAACCAGCCCCTCACTGAGCCCAAAGCCTTCCACCCTAAACCCTTCTGACAATCCCAAACCCTCCTGAACCCCAAACCCTCCTGAGCACCCCAAACTCTCCTGAACCCCAAACCCTCCAGAGAACCCCAAACGATTCTGACAATCCCAAACCCTTCTGACAATCCCAAACCCCCCTGAGCACCCCAAACCCTCCTGCCCACCCCAAACTCTCCCTGCTCAGCCCAGCCCAGTTCCCAGGATGCAAAGGCAGCAGCAGGAACCACAGGGCTCTTTGATCCTGCAGGATTTATCCCCCAGGATTTGATCCTCCAGGATCTGATCCAGGATCAGGAGCAGCAGGTTCCCACCAGGATTTTTGGATCAGCAGCTTGTGTCCCCTCCCGAGGTGCTGTCACCTCCCTGCCATGGTTTGGGAAGTCCCAAAGGTGCTGTCCTGTCCTGGACACATGCCCCTCAGCCATGCACACAGCAGGAGAAATGAGGGAGCCAGGCAGGAACAGGTTCAGCATCAGGAAAAGTTTTTTATTTCCAAAAATAAAAAGAATTTCCAGAGCAGAAAAATCCACATCTGCAGTGGGGTCAGGGCAGGGAGCCACAGCACCACGGGGAAAGTCCCTGTCTGAGGGACCTGGGATGTCCCTGAGCTGAAGGAATTGACAAAGCACCAGGTCCTTTCCTGCCCCTCCCCAGGAGAGAATTCCCAGAGGCAGGAATGAGCCTCATCCCAAGGATCAGGGGACTGGGCCTCCCTCCCCACAGCCCAGCCAGGGACTCCTCCCCACTCAGCACTCCCAAAAATCCACTGGGACAGCCTGGACACTGCAGATTCCCTGGAATTCCCAGAGCTCCTTCCTGCAGCAGCACCAAAGCACCAGCTGGGGGTGACAATCCTCACGTCCCAGCTCAGCCCCGAGCCGGGATCCCCCGGGCTGGGATGGATCCCTCCCACGGCTGATGCTGCTCAGTCCTGCTCGCACCAAATATCCACAAAAGGATTTTCTTCCATTTTTCTGGGGTGAAACATCCCCCGAGCTGCTCCTGTCCCCTCAGGGCTGCTGCAGCTCCAGGGCTTCTCCCCAGCAGGCCGGGACCTCGGGAATGCTGCTGGGGGGGTGGGAACGCCCAGCTTCTGCTTCAGCAGCAGGAACTGCACAGAGACACACCCTGCTTCACATCTCCTTGATTTCCTATCTATTTCTGTGTATTTTCTTTTATATCTCTTGATTATTTTCTATTGTCTTTGATATTTCTTTATATTTTCTATTTTATTTTCTATTTTCTTGATATTTTGATATTTCATTATATTTTATATTTTCTATTTCCTTTATATTTTATTTTATATTCCTTTATATTTTCTTTGATATCCCTTTGTATTTTCTTTGATATCCCTTTATATTTTCTATTTCTTTCTATTTTCTTTTATATTCCTTTATATATTCTTTTATATTTCTTTCCATTTTCTTTGATGTCTTTATATTTTCTTTGATATCCCTTTATATTTCCTTTGATATTTCCTTTGACATTCCTCTATATTTCCTTTGATATTTTGCTATATTTTCTTTACTTCTTTCTATTTTCTCTGATATTTTCTTTGTTATTTCTATTTTCTTTGATATCCCTTTATATTTTCTTTGCTACTACCTTAATATTTTATTTTCCTTTATATTTTTTATCTTTTCTTTGCCATTTCTTTCTATTTCCTTTGCTATCCCTTTCTATTTCCTTTTCCAGAGCCCCTGCCCTGCAGCCCCGTGCTCACGTGTTTCCTGCTGCTGATGGCCTGTTGGATCCACAGCAGCTCCAGCAGGAGATGTTCCCTGTGGGATTGCAGCTCCCAGCGGGGCAGGCCCTGCAGCTCCTCTGGGATTTCTGCCCAAAAAAGGGAAAACCCCAAAGCTCAGCCCTGTGGGAGATGCTCCAGCATTCCCAAATCATTCCTGAGTTTTTGTGGCTCTCACCTGGGCTGGCTCCCAGCTCGCTGCTGTCGCTGGCCCACCCCAGGGCTCCTCCCTCCTCTTCCTCCTCCTCCTCCTCCTCCTCGGGGCTCTGAGCAGCACCACGCCCCAAATCCGGGGGGTTTTGGGGGTTTTTGGGGTTTGGGGCTGTCCCCCAGGGCAGGGGGGCTGAGTTGGGGATGTTCCCACCCCGCTCTGCTCCACGAGGATCCTGCTCCTCCCGGATTTTTTCTGGGAATGGTTTTGTTCTCTGCAGCACCACGCCCCAAATCCGGGGGGTTTTGGGGGTTTTTGGGGTTTTTAGGGTTTGGGGTTGTGCCCCAGGGAAGGGCAGCTAAGGGGAGGATGTTCCCACCCCGCTCTGCTCCACGAGGATCCTGCTCCTCCCGGATTTTTTCTGGGAATGGTTTTGTTCTCTGCAGCACCACACCCCAGATCCGGGGGGTTTTTGGGGTTTTTAGGGTTTGGGGTTGTTCCCCAGGGCAGGGGGGCTGAGCTGGGGATGTTCCCACCCCGCTCTGCTCCACGAGGATCCTGCTCCTCCCGGATTTTTTCTGGGAATGGTTTTGTTCTCTGCAGCCTCCCCTGGATCCAAGGGTTTCCCTGGAGAGGGCTGGAAAAGAGGGTAAAAAAAAGGAAAAGAGGGGAAAAAAATCCCAATGCAATGGGAGAGGGGAAAAAGTATGAGAAAAAAGATTTTTAAAAATCAAGAAAGTGTAAAAAAATATGAGAGGAATAGGAAGAAAATATGATGATGAACAGGAAGGAAATAGGAAAAAAAAATATAAAGAAACAGAAAAGAAAATATCAAAGAAAAATCAAAGAAATATAAAAGAAAATATCAAAGGAAATAGTAAAATAAAAGAAAATATAGAAAACAATATTAAATAAAAGAAAATACATAAAATATAAAGAAATATAGAGAAATATTAAAAAATCAAAGAAATATCAAATAAGATATTAAAAGAAACAAAATAAAATATGTAAAAGAAAACAGAACAGCTGTGCCAGCTGTTAACACCACCCTGCCCTGCTCGGAGCCACCCGAACTCTCCTGGCACGGGAATCACCTGGGCAGGCCGGGCACTGCCCCGGGGCCGGGCTGCCCCGGGAGCGCCGAATCCCACCGGGGCCGGGCCGGGACCGTCCTGCAGGCAGGGGCACACGGTCAGCGCTTCCAGCGGGCCGCAATCCCCGCTGCCGGGCTGCTCCCGGTGCTGCCGGGCTGCTCCCGGTGCCCTCCCGGTGCCGCTCCCGCACCTCGGCGCCGAAGCGCGGTCTCTGCAGGACGCGGCCGCTCCAGCGCAGCTGCCGCAGGTCGCCCTCGATCTCCAGCACCACGGCCTCGAACTCCGCCCGCACGCTCCGCAGCCGCCGCCGCAGCAGGAACCCCCTGGCACAGGCCTGGCACGGCCCGGGGGCAGCGCTGGAACCGAACCGAACCGGGCCGGGCCGGCACCGAACGCGGGCGAGCCCAGGCGGCAGTGCCGGCTGCAGCATCCCCCCGCGGCCGGGGGAGCCCTCACGGGAGAGCCCTCATGGAGCTGCCCACACGGAGCTGCCCTCACGGAGCTGCCCTCACGGGAGAGCCCTCATGGAGCTGCCCACACGGAGCTGCCCACACGGAGCTGCCCTCACGGGAGAGCCCTCATGGAGCTGCCCTCACGGGAGAGCCCTCATGGAGCTGCCCTCATGGAGCTGCGCTCACGGAGCTGCCCTCATAGAGCTGCCCTCATGGAGCGGCCCTCATGGAGCTGCCCTCACGGAGGGGCCCTCACGGAGCTGCGCTCACGGAGGTGCTGGCCCGGGGGTGCCCTCACGTGGGTTCCCTCATGGAGGAGCCCTCACGGAAGAGCCCGCCCGGAGCTGCCCTCATGGAGGTGCCCGCTCGCCCTCACGGGAGAGCCCTCATGGAGCTGCCCTCATGGAGCTGCGCTCACGGAGCTGCCCTCATAGAGCTGCCCTCACGGAGCTGCCCTCACGGAGCTGCGCTCACGGAGGAGCCCTCAAGAAGGAGCCCTCACGGAGGAGTCCGCCCGAAGGTGCCCGTCCGGGGGTGCCCTCATAGAGGAGCCCTCATGGAGCTGCCTTCACGGAGGTGCTGGCCCGGGGGTGCCCTCACGGAGGTACCCTCACGTGGGTTCCTTCATGGAGGAGCCCTCACGGAAGAGCCCGCCCGGAGCTGCCCTCATGGAGGTGCCCGCTCGGGGGTGCCCGGCCCGAGGTGCGCTCACGGCCCGCTCCAGACGTGCCACCCCAGGGGTCTCATCCCGACGTGCACCCCAAAGGCGCCATCCACCTTTCCCCTTCCCCTCCCGGCCCCGCTCCCCCGCCGGCCCCGCGTTCCCCCGGGCCGGTCCCGCACCTGCAGCCGGGTCACGGAGCGCAGGAGCCGCCGCTCCCCCTCGGCCCCGGCCCGCGGGCCCGGCGCGGCCGCCATGGCCCCGGCGCCGCCTGCTGACGTCATCGGGCCGCGACCGCCGCCGCCATGGCGGGGGGCGCCCGGCCCGGGCCGCCCGGGAGTCCTGGGGATGGCGGGGACGGGGACGGGGAAGGGGACAGGGACAGGGACAGGGTCGGGGTCAGGGCGCCGCGTCCTCGGGGTCCGAGCTCTCGGCCAGGTGCAGCTTCTGTCTGAGAGCGGGTCAAGGGGAAGCGCCAGCACCGTCACCGTCACCAGTGTCACTGTCACTGCTACTGGCATCATCCCATAGATCCCATCCCATCCCATGGATCCCACCCCCCCCGCCGTCCCTCACCGAACGCCTGCAGCTTTCCCGAGTGGAAGTCGCTGAGGAGGCTGAGCAGCCCGCGCTCCATCTCGCACACGTCGGACACATCCGTGAGGAAGCTGTGCTGCAGCGGAGCCCCCCGGCCGCCCCCCGCGCCCGCCCGCGCCCGCTCCTTGCTGGCCCTGCGGGGAGCGCGGCGTTGGCACCGGCACCGCCCGCTCGGGGCCGCGCCGGTTCCCCGGGGCCGCACTGACCGGCGGGGCCGCGGCCGCTGCCGGGGCGAGGGCAGCGGCAGCGCGAAGGACGCGCTCTTGCTGGGGGGCAGCGGCCGCGGGGCCCCGGCGGGCTGGGCCAGGCAGCTCTGCGGGCTCCGCTTCTTCCTGCGCTCCTCCATGGCCGGGCGGGGGCTGCGGGGGCTGCGGCACCGGCACCGGGCGTGCGGCGGACGCGGCGCGGGGAAGCTCCTTCCCTGCACGGACAGGAGGCTCGGGGAGAGGATGCGGCTGCCCGGGGGGCAGGGGGAGCCCCGGGGTAAGGGGACAAAGCCAGGGGCGCCGGGACCCCCAGGTGAAGGAGTGACAGCCACGGGCACCGAGGGCCGCTCCGGGTGGCGGCGGGAGGAGCGGAGCAGGAGCTCGGTGCCCGTTCCCGGGGGGCTCCGCTCTCTCCCCGCGCCCGGAGCATCCCCCAGGAGTCCGGCCGGGGCCTGAACCGCAGCCGCAGCTCCGACCGGGCCCCGTCTCTCGATGGAAAAGAGCATTTCGGCCCCAAAACACCCCGGCGAGAGCGGAGCGTATGGGGATCGTCACCCCTTTGTCCCGCCGAGCCCCCCGAGCCCCGAGCGGCGCCGGGACGGGGCAGCTCCGGGGGTGCGGAGCCCCTTTGTCCCCTTTGTCCCCTTTGTCCCCAACCTCCCTCCGGAGCGCCACGGCCGGGACTGACCTGAGCCAGGCCCGCTCCGGCCTCCGGGACCAGAGGGACACCCCGAGAGCGAGGGACACCCCGAGCCCGCCGGACGCCCCCCGCCCGATGGACACCGTCCGCACCGCCCGGGATTTGCATTTAAAGGGAAAGGGAACTTCCTCCGGGCTCCGCCGGACAGCGGCTGCCCGCGGGATCCGCGGACGTGCCCCGGGATCAGCCCCGGGATCAGCATCCCGCAGGGTCGGGAACGGGGCGGGATCCGCTCCCCGAGCCCGCGGAGCCCCCGGCCGGTTCCTGCCATCCCTCCCGCCCCCCGGCCGCGGGCTTTACCCCGAGTCCCCTCCGGTGTCCCCGCCGCGCCGCGGGTCCGTCCCTGCTGGAAGCAGCCGGGAAGGGCCGCCAGCCCTGGCGCAGGGCCGGGATTAACAAATCCCGTCCCCCCCCTTCCAGCCCGAGCGCGGCCGCTGCTGTAAATGCCGGCAGGATTTTTAACCGATCTTGGACATTTTGGAGCCGATGGGGGCACAAGGGACCAGCCGGGAGGGGGGGTTGGTACCCCCAGAGCCGGGACCCTCAGGGCTGGTGGCTGCAGCGTCCCGGGAGGGAGATGCCAGCTCACGCTGGGGACACCCCGATGTCCCCTCTGAGCAGGGACATCCCATCCCCACCGCAGCAAAACGCCCCTTGCAGCCTCCCCCAGCTCATTCCCAGGGGAAAGGAGGAGCAGAGCTCTGGGACAGGGCAGGAGGAGTTCGTGGGGATTGGGAGCGGGGCTGTGTGTAGGTGTTGTGTGTAGATTGTGGGGATTGGGGCTGTGTGTAGGTACAGTTTGAGGGGATTTGGATTGGGGCTGTGTGTAGGTTTTGTGTGTAGATTGTGGGGATTGGGGCTGTGTGTAGGTACAGTTTGAGGGGATTGGGAACAGAGCCGTGTGTAGGTACTCAGTGTGTGGGGTTAGTTTGAGGGGATTTGGATTGGGGCTGTGTGTAGGTTTTGTGTGTAGTTTGTGGGGATTGGGGCTGTGTGTAGGTACAGTTTGAGGGGATTTGGATTGGGGCTGTGTGTAGGTTTTGTGGGTAGATGGTGGGGATTGGGAACAGAGCTGTGTGTAGGTACTCAGTGTGTGGGGTCGGGGCTGCTCCCCAGTTTGCAGCTGTGAACAGCAGGGCAGCAGCACCGGCAGCAGAGCCACGGAGTGCCCAGGTGTGCTGAGCAAAGGGCACACAGGTGCCATGCATGAACGTGAGGGGTGTAAAAACTTGGGTAAAGAACAACAAGGGCTGATGCTTGCAGCCTCCTGAGGTGACATGATGTTACCCTGTAGGGGTTGAAGCTTTCTGAAATTGTATGGTGACACTCTGGGCATCGTGGCTGTCTCAACTGTGACATCAGCTGTGACAGGACACAGGGAAGTCCCCACAGCCCAAAATCTTCAGTTCACTCCCCGTGGTAAAGAAGAGAGACACCAGAGGCAGCAGCGAGGTTGGGAGTGTTTCTATTGGATACAGGATACACACGAGGAGCTTTCTGTACCTTAACAGGGAAAAGACAGAAAAAAAGGGGGTTTGGTGAATTTCTAAGGGGTTTTGCTTTTACTCAAGTCCAGATGTCAGCAGCTCAGCCTGGCTGGGTTACATTCATGGATCATCCCAGAGGAACTGAGCTGACAGCAGGGGCTGGAAGACAAAGCCACCCCAGCTCCAGGGACTGTCCCAGTGGGTGTCCAGCACGGCTCTGTGGAGCCTCAGAGCCCGTCCATGCTGCCCTCCTCAGATCTGGATTCCCTGGAGAAGGAGACAGGGAGGCAGGTCCTCCATGGAGGGAAGATGTGAGAGCAGCTGTGGTGCCAGAAGAGAATCCCAGACGGATCCACTGGATACATCCACGGTGGGGATCAGCTTCCAGCACCAGGAAGGCAATGCTGGGAATAAAGTCTGTCACAAACAGAAGCTGCAGCAAGGTCTGAAGCGAGCCCAGTCTTCCAAAAGAACAGCGAAAAGACAAAGTCTTGACAAACCAAGGAAAATCCCAAAACCTGGTGCCAGCAGGTCCCACGCTGTCCCTAAACTCCCTCCCAGCACATCCAGGCCCTGCAGGGTGAGGCAGCACTGGGGAGATGCTCTTCCAAGCAGAGAGGGGAAGGAGAAGTGGGGCTGGGAGAGCACAGGCACCCCCAGGCTGGGGGGACGGCAGGAGCAGCCCCAGAGCACAGCCTGGGAGCCGATCCCAGCCCCAGGGCAGAGCCTGGGAGCCGATCCCAGCCCCAGGGCAGAGCCTGGGAGCTGATCCCAGCCCCAGGGCACAGCCTGGGAGCTGATCCCAGCCCCAGGGCACAGCCTGGGAGCTGATCCCAGCCCCAGGGCAGAGCCTGGGAGCTGATCCCAGCCCCAGGGCACAGCCTGGGAGCTGATCCGGGCTGGAGCAGCAGCTCGAGGAGCACACACAACTCTGAGGTTTGATCCTCCTGCAGTCCCAGCTCCGTGGACGCCTCCAGGGCTGGGGCAGAGGGCTCGGGGCACCTCCCCAATCCCTGTGCACAACGATGCGAAACACTTGGGAATTAGACCTTTGGGTTAACTGTTTAATACACTTTGTGCACGTGTGCGTTCAGCAAAGAGGCAACTGTGAATTATAAGGCGGTTTTGAGATTGGCAGGGCCTGGGAAGAGCAAAAATTCCCAAGGGTGGGACCAGGCACCCCTTTTCCTGCTTCTCCTCGTCCCCACTGCAGACACAGAGCCCACGGAGAGCAGGGGAGCAGCCTCTTGTGCCCTCAGCTCACACAGGAGCTGCTAGCAAGAGCCAGTCCAGGAGCTTCCTCCTGCCTGGCGGGGGGAAGAGAGAGAATCCAGCACTGGGAATGTTCTGGAATTCTCCCAGCTCTGCTGTCACTCCAGAGTGGAGTGCTTGTGATGGTGGAGGCGTGTCCCTTGTCCCTGTGCCCTGCTCTCCTGAGCCTGCCAGTGACCAGGTCCTTGAGTGAGAGGGACAATCAGCTGAGCCTCCGTATTTTCAATATTCACACAGGCAGGCAGGGAGCTGGGCCCTTTGCTTCTTATGGATATCCATAGATAAAGTGTTGCCCTGCACATTTTTATATATCTTATATATATATATATATTTATATATATATATATATATATATAAAATCTTAAAAAAACCCTCCAAAAACCTAAACTAGGAAATCTCACATCCCCAAGCGGGCTGTGTCCTGTCCTTCCCCACCTGTCCCAGGACAGGGAGAGTGGAATCTAAAGCAGCTCCCAGGTCACCCTCCCTCACCCCAGCTGTGTGCCCTGCCCGGGGCTCAGTCAGTGCCCTGCTCAGTTCCGCTCTGCCCTGCTGCTCCTGTGCTCAGTTCTGCTGGGATTCCTGCAGGATCCGGGCTCTGTGAGGCCTTTCCCGGGCTCAGGGAATCTGGAGCTGCCTCGGAGCTGTCCCGGGGTGGCTCCTTCAGAGGCTCCAGCAGCTCTGTGTGGGCACACAGGTCCTGCACCTTCTTGTTGAGGTCGTTGCGCTCCGTCTGCAGCGCCCGGCACAGCTTCTCCAGGCGCTGGATCTTCACCTGCAGCCCCTCCAGCTCCTTGTCCCGCAGGGTTTTCTGCAGGGAAACAGGCACAAAGGGAGAGGTGAAACCCCAGGGGGACGTGAGAGAGCAGGGACAGCTTTGAAATGGAAGGAGGGCAGGGTTAGGTGGGATATTGGGATGAAATTCCTCCCTGGGAGGGTGCCCAGAGAAGCTGTGGCTGCCCCTGGATCCCTGGAAGTGTCCAAGGCCAGGCTTGGAGAAAGCTGGAATAGTGGAAGGTGTCCCTGCCCATGGCAGGGGGTGGAATGGGATGAACTTTAAGGTCCCTTCCAGCCCAAACCATTCCGTGACTGATTTTTGGGAAGCCTGGAATCCAATCATGATGACTGTTCCCAGGGAAACCAAGGAAACCTTCAGCACCCAAAGCACCAAGGAGCTTCTTCTGCCCTCACAGAGCACCGAGGCAGGACCTGTCCTGTCCCCATGCCACCCTCCCCAGCTGCTCCAGAGCCTGCCCTCACCTCCTCTGCCATCTCCAGGAGGGCCTTGTTGCTGCTCTCCCAGCGGGAGCGGTACATGGTGGTCTCCTTCTCCAGCTTCTTGATTTTCTTGGTCATCTACAGAAGCACAGAAAGGGCACAAATGGAGTCACAAAATAAGCTGGAAGGGACCCACAGGGATCAAAAGATATAAACCCCAGGGAGAACATTGCAATGTCACCCCAAATTTTGGGTGTAGATCTAAAATAACTGAAATTTGGAGCTGGGGCTCTTCCAGCTCCCAGCAGCACGGAGGAAAAAGCATCACCCACCTTCTCCATCTCCTGTTTGAACGTTGTGAACACTTCACTGCTTTTGGAAAGGGTGTTCTGGAACTCCTCAAACTTCTCTGTGTACAGAGCCAGCTGTGGGGAGAGACAGGGAGCTCATGGCTCCAGTGCCTGGGAGGGGAGAGCCCAGCCAAGGGCTGAGCTGCTGCCCTGGGACAAGGACAAACAGCAGGAGCTGCTGTGCCAAAGGCAAATTCTGTCCTAGGGAAACATCCTCAGAGCAGAGTGTTCCACAAACTCCTCCTGGCTGATCCCATGACTGCTCCCAGCACTGGGAAACGATCCCTGAACAAAGCCTCAGCTCACAAAACCAAACCCAGCAGGGATCCTGCCCCTCTGTTTTCCAGATTAAGGAACTTTGGGTTGTTCAGGGAGGGAGGGAAATCCCCAAACAAAACAAGCTGAGCAGGGAACTCACCTGCTGCTTGAGGTGGGTCTCCTGCTGCTTCATCAGCTCACACATCCTCTGAGACTCCACAGCTTCCTTCAAAAGCTGGGGAAGAGCAAAGCAGTTACCTGGGACTGCTCCTGGCCCAGCCCTGCTCAGGAGAGGCACAGGGAGCACAGCAGGGCTCCAGCCTGGCTGCTGGACATGCCAACATCTGGGATAACACCCAGGGATCCACACTAAGAGCCAAAA